ATAAAACCAAGGTTAAGGGAAAAAGAGTACAACGCGTATTTACTCCCCTTAATGGCTACATCAGTTGAAATCTCTAAGGTGACGCATTGTAGTGTAGTGTACTAACTTCTGAAACACAGATATTGGAAGTACCTTTGTGAATAAATCTGTCAAATTCTCTCTTAAACTGATCTGATTAACCTTTATCTCTTTAACCATCATTATCCTTTGTTCTTTTTTCTTTTCCGAGGATTCTTATCTTTGGAACCAATTGGTCTACCACGCTTCAAGTGTGCATTAGATCCATTAGTAACTAAAATTTATTCTTCTGGGACACCAAGTTTTATTGGAGCATTCACAACTGATATATGTGACTTAATCACTCTCTTTAGGTTAATAAATGCGTCCGACAATTCATTAGCTAAACTTTGTAAATGAATAATTTTTTGAACTTCTAATTTACATTGTTTAGTACGAGGATCAAGATGAGACTGATAATTCTTTCCAATTAATTTTTTTTACTAGTTGTTTGATCTCTCGTCAAAATGACAATCCACAAAACGAGCAATAAATAAATCCCCAGTAGATAGTTCTAGATATTTAATTATCAATGGAGATTCAAATCCAACATATATATATACACAACTTTCTTTGAGGTCCCATCTTAGTTCATTGTGGTGGAGATATTGGAACATATATGTCACATCCAAAAGTTCTTAGATGTGATATATTTAGTTCCTCACCATGAACCATTTGTAATGGAGAGATTTTATGATAATTTTTTGGCATGATGCGAATTAATGCCGTTGTATGTAAAATTACATGCCCTCAAGCAGTTCTTGCTATCAACTGAATTCGCTTAATTAAAGATTCTACTAGACCATTTTGTGTATGAACACGAGCTACAGGATGTTCAACACTTATTCTAATGGGCATGCAATAGTCATTAAAATATTGAGAAGTAAATTCTCTAGCATTGTCAAGACGAATTGTCTTATTAGAAAAATCTGGAAAATGGGCTCACAATCGAATCAATTGAGCAAGTAACCTCACAAATGTCAGATTGAGAGTTGATAACAAAGATACATAGGGACCATCTAATCGATGCATCGATTAAAACCATAAAGTACCTAAATGGTCCCCATGGAAGATGTATAGGTCCCCACATATATCCCCTTGAATTCGTTCCAGAAAAGTAATTGATTCATAATTTATCTTAGTAGGTGATGACCTAATTATCAACTTGCCAACTGAACATTCAACACATGAAAAATTATTTTAAAAAATATGTTGGCTCTTCAAAAATGCCCACATGAACGTTCGATTATTTTCCGCATCATAATTGAACCGAGATGGCCTAACCGGTCATGCCAAACAATAAATTTATCAGTAAACTTCTGGTTTACTATAGCATGTGTTTCTATTGAATTGATCTTTGTGTAGTACAAACCAGTAGAGAATGTAGGCAACTTCTCAAGAACTTGTTTATTGCCTTGAGTGATTCTCGTAATTTGAAGAAATTCATGATTTCCTTCACTGATAGTCTCAATATGATATCCATTTTGACGAATGTCTTTAAAACTCAATAAATTTCTTTCAAACTTAGGGGAATATAACACATCAATGATTTCAAACTTTGTTCCCCTTTGGTAATATTATATTTGCTCTTATGGAGCCTTCTACAATGCTTGTACTACCATATATAGTGCTCACACTTCTGTCTTTTATTATTAAGTGAGAAAAACATCTCTTATCTTTGAGTATGGTATGAGTAGTTGCACAATCTGCTAGGTATAAATCTTCATCATTCAATACTAATTGTCTTTAAGAGGTATTCATAATTTTCTTCAAAGAGAAAATTAGTCACAAAACAATTATAATGTCCAAAACATATACCCAAATCCAAATAGTTAAAATATATGACAATAAAATGTCTCATAAAATTAATAATAAATTGTCACTCAAAACATAAAACATAGCAATAAAATTCATAAATTATAACCTAGATAATTAAAAAATAAACATAAGTTAAAAGAGTTTAGTATGATCAATAAAAATTTATGGACTTAATTATTTTCTTCAGGGGTAAAATAAAAATAAGTAGTTTCCAAGTGGGTTGTATTGCTAGCATCAAAATCAATTTCGTCATCTTTATACACAAGATTTGTCTCTACTTTCTTTCCCTTCTGTATTAGTGACAGCTAATAAAGATCAATTAGATGCTTTTGAGTAGGACATAGTCGTGACCAATAATCTTTTCCTCCAAAAACGATAGCACTTATTAGTTATATTGTTTTCCTTTTCCTTCTCATGCTTGCTTTCATCTTTACGATCCCACCTCTGGTGAGAATATGAGTTTCTAAAATGACCATATCCATATCCACGACCACAATCATGGTCGCGTTTTTTACCACTGCCATTGACATTGTTTGTTTCTTTCAATTCTTGCCCATTTTTAGTTGTCACATTCGCTTCAGGGAATGGAGTAGAACCAATTGGGCATAATTCATGATTTTTCATTAGTAGCTCACTATTTTGCTCAGCCACTAGGAGACAAGAAATTAATTTAGAGTATTTCTTGAATCCCTTTCCACGATATTGTGTCTACAAGACAATATTATTCTCGTGGAAAGTGGAGTAAGTTTTTTCTAACATTTATACATCAATAATTTTCTCTCCACATAAATTCTACTGTGAAGTGATTTTAAACATGGTCGAGTTATAATCACTAGCATATTTAAAATCTTGTAATCTTAAATTCAACCAATTATAACGAGCTTTAGGCAAAATTATAGTTTTCTGGTGGTCATGCCTTTTTTTTAGATTGATCCAAAGGATTTGAGGGTCTTTAACAGTCAAGTATTCAGTCTTACGACCTTCATGAAGGTGATGTTGAAGGAATATAATGTCTTTAGCATTATCTTGAGTTGTTGCTTTATTTCCTTCCTTAATGGTCTCACCAAGACCCTTTGCATCCAAGTGAATTTCAGCATATAGTACCCACGATAACTAGTTCTTTCCAATGATGTCCAAGGCCATAAATTCAAGCTTTGTAAGATTTGACATGATCACTATTATAATTAAAAATAAATCAATTAGGTGAATGTTGCTTACTCATATACATATAAAAAATTGTTATAAACATGAGAACAAAATCTAAAAAAATGAATAAATTATAATTAAAATGACAAGGCATGGATAAACTCTAATCTTGATGATCGATGATAATAAAGTCAAACAACAAAACATATTTTACAAGATGAACTAGTGTATATGAGATATCTAGATTAAATCAGTGTTACAAACAAGAGACTTGTATATTATAACAAATCATGCAAAGTTATAAATCTCTTTACAAAGTAAGTGTATCTGTAAACCTCAATGAAAGAAGTCATGTCACATGTCCTTTTAGCAATGATAGTACATTATAGCTTAATAGATGCTAGACTATGGAGATCTACATACCTGAGTGAAATTGGTAACGTTAGGTTGACTTTTGTTCAACCTTGCCCAACAATATTTTCGGATCGTTTGCTTTGTTCCTCCAAACAATCCACTAGGTTGCTTGAATAATCCCTTTGGTAGAGCGTCGTGTTGATAGCGTCTTTTAAAATAAATGAGAGATATGGGAGAGAAAATAGAGATATATGTATCTATTCTTATTTTTTTTTATTTAATTTTATGAGTACATGAACCCCGTATATGTAGGGGTGAGGAATGCTCTCTAATAATTATAATACATATGAAGAATCAAGTCCTTTGGTATTTCATCCTCTCAATTCATTGAAGAATACTAAAACTCACATTAATTAATAGAAGTAATAATGACATCCACATAATATATTCATAACAATTTCTTGATAATACACAAATTTAAGCAAATAATTAACATTTTTTATCAAAAAATTCTTTGCATTTTATAAATAACAGTTTCAATTTTATGAACGCTTAAAAAGAATCACCGCAAACATTGTAAAAAGCTATTCATATGGTAAACTATTAGAAGTATTATACTATTATATATATATATATATATATATATATATATATATATATATAGGAAAAATCCAATTATAGTGTTGACGAAAACGGGTAAAGAAAACGAAAGAACACGAGAATTTTACGAGGTTCGGCAATGTGCTTACGTCCTCGGTGCCTAGGCGGCGCTAGAATTTTATTCAATGATATTTTAGGTCTAAGTTACATCTCTATTTATAATAGAAAACCCTGGTACATAATTACAAAATTAACCCTGTACCGTACCGCTGGGGCTACGCCCCCGCACCCCCAAACCCACATAATTTGTAACCCCACAACGAGACTTTCTTTGTAAGGACAGTTGATGTTCGCTGCGTTCGCTTCGCTCACTCCGCTCCATCTCCTGTCCTCTTTACTGGTATATTTATGAGCCATACCTAACATATAGTTTTGCATCTTTTTAGGACTATTAAACAAGAGAAGTTAAAGGTTGAGATTAACAGTAGAAAATGAAAATATATTAACCATAAAAAAATACTTAATTAATCTCATCATTTGATTTCTCTCAATCCAATGAACTTAAAAAGATGTAAAACTAAAAGAATTTTACACAGTGTAAGTGGATAGTAACTCATATATATATATATATATATATGTAAAGCATTATATTAATCTCATCTTTATTGATGGTGATTTTCCGGGGAGCTGCTGTTGCTGGTTTCTTCTCGCCAAGGGTAGATGATGCTGTCGCGCTTACAAAGGCCATTCGTTGGCTGGTACAACACTGGATGCATGGCGCATGCATAATATTATCTTCCATACGCATTCATATATATATATATATATTCTTAGAGTAAACGAAAATAACCAAATAAAAGTTGCTGGCATATTGATATCTCAATAAAATGTTTCCATCCCAACCGAAAGAGAGAAATTTTCAAAACAAAAAGGAAATATTAGTTTTATTGTATTATTAATTATCCATTACAGTTGGTCTGTCTGTCTGCCTCTACTTCTATCGGTTGGACCGTCGGCCTCTACCTCTATTCCTCAGGGTTGGACCGTCGGCCTCTACTTTTGGCTTCTTTCCCTTTCTTTTTTTCCTCTTCTTTCCTGTACTTGATACCACAGGCGTTGCAGAGAGTCTACAATAAAAATAAAAAAGTAAAAGAAAAATACTCCATAGGGATAAAAGTTGACAAGTTATTCAAAGTTCCACCAAGCATTGATGCATACTACAAATTCACTATAATTGAATTAGATGCATTAATAAACAAACTTCAATGAGAAAACTTAAGTTCATTTATAGGAATTGAAGATCTTTTTAAATGATCATGGCTTTCGTTATTACTAAGTCTAATTATCAATAAATGAATATACTTTGTTTATCCTATAAATTAGGGTTTGTCTAATTTCTGATAAAGATATATAAATTAGGAAATGTAAGTATGTGTACCTTGGGGCCGAGAGGTCCTTTGCGCCACATAGGAGTATCATTGGTGTTGCAATTGTAGTTGGTGCATCGCTTGAAGGGGTCATTGTAGGTGCCAAAACGCCATGGGACTTGCCCGCCCGAACCCGAGGCAGAGGAGTTTCCAATCTCGAGATGATGCTGATTTGCAGCGGCTCTCCTTGGAGGGACATCGATCAGCGTGTAGGTATTCGGAGGCACCTCATTCGGAGGAGGAAGAGGACGAGTGGGGGCGAAATTGTAGGAGGAAGAATCAATGGTTCCATAAGAAGGAAGCCCCATAGAAGGGTCTGAAAAAGGGTTAAATGCATTTGCATAATTCATGTTATGGACACCTCTACCAAGTTGATCCGATGGCCATGCAAATCGGGCTTGACTGCCATTGAAGCTTTGTTGACCTTCAACAATTGCTCCTTGGTTAACCAATCCATGCTGAACCATAAACAAATGAATAATAAGAATAAATAGAAATTAAAAGACACATAGTTAATCAAAGCTCAAGTGTACATGAGATTGTTCTTAAATATTTTCTTTATTTCCTCTATCATTTTTCTCTTGATCCTTGACTACCAAACACATTCTACTTGTTTACTCGCTCGATCAATATGATACAAACATTTAAAATCGATGGCTAAATTGAAATATTTATATTATTTTATAATTTTCTATAAAATATACATTTTTATGCTGAAAATTGCAATGGGCGATAAATTATTATTATAGTAACTATCAGTCTGTCACATTATTGACGAGACGACAAAAAGATATACATCCAACGTAGATTTCATTATTTCCTTATTTATTAAAATATAATTAATAATAAACCGTTAAGCTTCGTTGTCATTTCTATTTTTTATGAATTTGACATAAAATAATAATAATAAAAATTATTACAATACCATATATACTTAATGATTTTAATATAAAATGCTATAATCAATCACTAGAACAATAAAAAATCATACCTTTTATTTTAAAATAATTTATTTTGTATTGGAAAAAGCCTTATAACCTTTGTAATATACATGACATTAACACACAAATTAAACCAACTTTTCAATAATCTATAGGAGAAAAGAGTGGTGAATAACCTGAGTATGGTGGTAAAGTGTTGCGTTTTGATGAAAATCAGACAAAGGCAGCCCCAATGTCAGAGAGAGATCAACTCTATCATTGCTATTGTCTTGCTTGTTCATTTCACTAAACGACCTTGAGTTATCCATGGATTCACTGTTTTTTATTATACCAAAAAATAGAATAACACTATTAAAAATCAAATAATTAGACAGTAAAAGAGAGATGAAACAGTGATCTGAAAGACCGATACACAAGTAGGGATTGGTCGGTCCTTTTATGAGATAATGATAAAAATAAAACAAACAAAAAATATCGATTTGAAAATGAGCTTTTCATGATATTTTATAATATAAAACCGATCTGATCTCCATCAATGACTACATGTGATAGAGATGGAGGATGGAGGAGATGGAGGGAGGGAGGGAGGAGACAAGAAAAGACAAAATAATAATAATAATAATACAAAAGAGAGAGACTTACAACTATGGAAGCCTAGGATGTTTTGCTGCTTTGAAATATTTGTGATTAGAAAGGGAAGGAAAACCTCTTATGTATACATACACGTGAGAAATAGAGTCTTTATATGGAAGTTATATATGAACTCCCATTTAAAATATTTTTTATTTTATTTACCTATCGTTATCCAATCAACTTGTTGATTATTTGCTACACCAGAAACCGTTGATTTTCGACTTAATTTAAAGAATTAGCATCTCATATACATATATTAGTGCAACACGTACACACAATTAATCGAAAAATGAAACATATGTGTATTGTATTTATTATTTTATTTCGTCTTTATGACGCAGACATAAACTTATTGTAATTCGATGTAATTATACAATAGCTATATATTTGGATAATCATTGTTATTTATGGGTAATTGAAGTATCCAGTTATACTATTCATTTACAATAGAAAGAACATAATTAGTGATAATGATTTGTGAGAGGAAAACAATTGATGCCAAATCAACGTAGAAAAAATCACACACAATCGATGAAATTTAACATAATTTAGTCTTATCTAGTTCCACGGATGAAAAGAATAATAATTCACTATAAACATTGTAACCTCTAAACTCGTTCTAGGAGTTAGAATTGAATTAGGGTAACCTTGTTGATTACAGAAATGATTTACGAATGATCTAGTTTAATAAATCGTCTTAAAAATATTTACTGATTATAAATTCAGAAATAAACTCATGTCACAATTCAAAGAGGTTGAAAGCAAAAATTTAATCGCACATAATATGAAATCGAGACTACTCCTCTGATAGCCAAATTAGTTATACATCTAAATAATATGAAAATAGAAACATAAATAGGGTGAGCTACGAAGCTTAGTGTGCCCCCTAAATACAAATAATAATTCATATATTTCAGGTATAATATAAAAGCAATAAAATAATCAAGTAACTATATGTAGACACCTATTTTCTTAAAAGATAAAACTAGCAAGAGTTTCTCTCCTAGGAGGACTCTTCCACCACCATATCTTTTAAAGCAACAACCACACCAACAAATGTGCAACAACCGAGCAATGAGTCTAGTTGCATTAGGATTCTATTGTTAATAGGATTCTAAAAATAGTTAGTTTTTTTAAACTATAAATACATGTAATCCTCCTAATTTTTAACACACGATTTAGATACAAAATACAGAGGAAAGCACGGAAAATACAAAGGCAAAGCTATTGTAAACGATTCGAAAAGGAAATAAAAGACAACCGGCAAATTAATTGGTACCGAAAGGGTGGTTCAAGGGTGCTAATCATTCCTTGACTGTAACTGACTCCCGAACCCGACACGTTTCTGTTACAACACAGATCAGGTAAGATGGTGTCCGACCCACCTAAATTCGTTTTAAAGTGGTTGGTGGTGACTCTAACCCAACTCATCCACTTTTTTCAAGTCGAAGTTCAATTTCGGGGCCCAACCGAAAGATAGTTACGACAGTTTGACGACTCTGTTGGGGACAGGTAAGTGAGTCAGGCTGATATTAATTTTCGGTTGTCTTTTTATGTGAAATTAGTAAATTTAAATTTAAATTTATTTATTCGATTCTGATTATTTATCTTTGATTATTTTTCAAATAAATAGTTGTACTGACGTTTTTTAATGATTTCAGCTTTTTCAAAATTTTCATCTCAGGCTCTATACCCGAGCTCCAAACCCTTTTAAGTGGGGGTGAAAGTGACGTATTCGTGGGAATTTATTCTCCGTATGGGCATAAGGGAATGTATCCTCTCGAGTTTAACTTAGTCCACATAAGCTTGTAATGGGCTTAGGACTAAGGGTCTGGCAAGCCCAAGGGGCACCAGCAAGGAGAACTCGGGTACCATTTTAGAACCTAAACCGTGAGAGTACAGAGAATTAGAGCCCACTCTAAAACCTCATTTCAAACCCTAGGCTGCTTTGATTTTATTTCTTTCTTTACTTTATGTTCAAAGCATGTGAACTAGACAAATATGCTGTTAGGATTTGTTTGAAATTAGCATGCGGGATAGAGATCATATCCGGGTAGGAACAATAAGCATGTGGGGTAAGACTTTTTATTTTCATTATTATTATTTTTTATCCTTATCTCACTAATTTTTTCTTCTTCTTTAATTTTCCTTTTTTTTAATTATTCTATTTTATTTTTTTATCATGCGCATCATTTAAAAGAGGTGTTGATCCACAAAAAATGTGTTTGTTAAAATATGAATAATTTGCATTAATGGACAGAGGGGTTGTAATACAAGAGGTGAGAAACGCAGGGGTCCGGCTATGGTAAAAAAAAGACTCAGAAAGAAAATGAGGATAATCTGCAAGACAACTATGTGTCACATTTGATCAAGAAGACATGGTGCCCATAATCAAATAGATCAAAAGTCAACTTTTCAAAAATGGGTTGACAAAGGTGGCAGGGGCAAGACGAGAAAAAGGTTACTGACTTCGAGAGTCATTTCAAAGACAACAAGAACAAAATGATAAAACGATAGCTGAATTGGAAGCCATTGTCGACAGATTCAATGAACTTCTGAGAATCCCTTTGATGAAGGATTTCAATGACGTTTCCGTTATAAAACAGGTTCAGCAAAGGATGAAAGCCAGAGATGCAGTCGTTCGATACTTCTGGGAACAAGTACAAAAAATAGCTCGTCACTTGCATGATTTAGCCAGAGAAGCCGGAGCGGTTTGACAGGGTATTCGACCGGTGACAGATGAAGGTAGAAGACTAATCAACTTGTTTCAGGGTCTAGAGGATTTAGTCCGGATGTACCTTTAAATATGTTTATTGTCTCTTAAAAGATAAAACACTTTTGTCCCAATAAAGATTATTTATAATAACAGACGTGTTTTTGGATCAATGCCTCGAACATTTCATGCATTTTGCATCTACATTTCATTTTTAAGCATTTTCATAAACATGAAATTTCTTCACGGAGAATTCGATGAATTGATTGTAACCATATGACACCACATGTAAGCAAGATTTTAACAATTAAAGAAAAAAACTAAAATTACAATAAATGAGCCCGATTAGCTGGTTGTACGACTAAGCCTGCCAGGATGGTATGAGAAAAGAGTCCACATATCCTAAGGGCTACGATGTTAAAGTTATTTGCAGTTGCCACATAGGATGCTCCAAACATTCCTTTGAGAACTTTAAGGCGTTGAAGCGCGAGATCCAAAACCTGATGGATTCAGGGGCACAGACAGCCGAAGAAGGGGGCATTGCATATATCATTTGCACTTAGAGGATTGTTTTGTTTGAACACGTCTTTGATCTTTCATGGTCGCTTAATCTTTTAAATGATTGAATTTATGCTACTTTCTAAGGTGGAGCAATTGAACAAATTTTAATCTTTAGTTCTTCGAATATTAAATGAATTAAGGATTCTTTTAATTCTTCAAGAATTATGGATTTTTGACATATGGCAATATTAGACATTTCTTAACCTGTCTCAAACCCCAAAATGAAATACCTTAATTCTTTACCCAAAATAACTCATGGCCATTACCAAAAAGACCAATTTTTGACATTACCTCCCTTTGAAATTTTTTAACAATGCCTTTATCTTTTTGACACGCCCATACCTTTCTTTAAGTCAATAAAGTCACACCATTGTTTTTTTAGACTCAAAATTGATATTTTTATACCATTAAAACCCAAGGCATTGAGTTGTTCATTTGAACATGAGCCTTCTTCTAAGACACAACTTGGGGCATCTCGCAGGGAGCATGAACATTGAGACATGTTCGGGGCAAGAAGCAGAAAAACGAATTCTACCATGCATTAATTACACTGTTTTCATGTGAATAAAAATAATCCTGAAAATTTATCCCCTTGGGGATACCTCTTCTATGAGGACTTCCATGTATGAAATGATGAACGACTTTCTTTCTTCATCCCTTCACAATAAGAGAAAATATATATATCCCTTTTGTCCCCTTTTGAGCCTATAGTATTTTTCTTCTGATTCAACCCTAACCAATGATCACCCTCCACACTGGGGGGCAAGGTGGAGAAACTCTGCTCTCATGAGTGAAGACATTGATTCAGATGAGATACTGAAAAGTGAACCAAATGTCAAGTGAAAAGATTTAATCAAAGCAAAAAGAGAAAAAAGCAAAGAGAAAATAAAAAGGAAAAAAACAAAGGAAATTTGAAGAAAAAAGAAGACAAGATGCATATGCAAAGATTCTCTCGATTCAAACGACGCATCGAGATTCAAACTATGAGATTGATCAAGCACAATCATTTCTGAATCACTCCACTCGAAGATCATAGAGAATCAAGAGAGACACACATACGAGCAGATTCAAATTGAGCAAGATATGATTGAAGACATCAGAATGAATTGATCCTTGGTTCAATCACCCTTAAATACTTGTTTGGGCCTTTTATCCCTTTCTTTCATAACCATGAACCATGACATACGTTACATGCCTTAAAAGTCCATTCTAATCATACATTGATTTCTAAACAGAAGAGACTATCTTCATATTTCATCCCGCCCATCAGGATTAATCTTGATTTGCAAAAAATAATGTAATTAATGTATGATAGAGAAAAATAGCAAAGGGGGTTCAAGACATAAATTACGAATGACGTCTTGAAACCAAAGGAGGATTCGATTTGAAAACCTGAAAATG